ATGCTAAGTACCTCTGTGTCAGAGAATGCAAACCGCACGTACTATTTTGTACAATTTGAAACTTGCAAGTGGGCATTTTAAAATGCATTAAAATATTCGTATTACACAAATATAAAATTCTGTCATACAGATTACTCTAAAATAGAAATGCTGTGTGTTTTGTGTGTACACAGGAGGAAAGGGAAGCAGTAGAGGGCAAAGATAGGCGAAGGGATAAGAGGGAAGAAGGGAAGTGAGGAATGAGAAGGAACAGAGGTGAGAGAGGCATACAGAGGAGGGAGGAAGGAAAGGATGAAGGTAAGGGGAGGTGATGAAAATGGAGGGGGGGTAGAAAGAAAGCATTGTTTTCTCATAAACTTGTGTGTTCATCAATACAGAGAGACTCGGATTTACAGGCAATCAAATATATGGGCTTTTGAACATAACAAAATTCACCCAGAAGTATTTAATTTTAAAAGCAAACGGTTTCCCCTCCAGTAACAATGTTGTAGGGTGTGGTTAGGTTTCCAGATGCTGCTGTTGGGGGTCTGGGGTCGGTTCCCACCCATAGCAACCCTTCCTACAACAGAATGAAATACTGCCCAAGCCGGCACACTCCCCCCAGCTCTCTGTTTGAAACCACCGTTGTATTCTCTGTGTCAATCTGTGTCATGGAGGGGCTCCCTCCTCTTGCTGACCCTCTTACCAAGCCCTATGCCCTTCTTCTGGGACTTACCCTTCCTGAAAATAAGTCTAACGTACGAGACAAAATCACTCCATCCTCAAGTCTATTAAGCATTCTGGTTATACTTCCTCTGAAACAGATTTTTAAGAAATTGTTGTTCTTCTGGCAGTTATTAACTTCCATACTCTTCACCAACATCATAATGCAAAGGCATCTAATCTTTGGTCTTCCTTGTTCTTCATTCAGCTCTCTCACACACATGAGATCACTGAAAATGCCATGGCTTCAGTCAGGTACACCTCAGTCTGCAAAGTGACACCTTTGCATTTTTACACTTTATTTAGAGATCTTGTGCAGCAATCTGCCAATGCCATACGTTGTTTGATTTCTTCACTGACTGCTGCTTCGATGAGCGCTGACTGTAGATCCACGCAGGATGAAATCGATGGTAACTTTGGACCAGCAGCTCCTGCACTCTTAGTGATACGGTTAGCCGCTTTCCCCCAGGGCCCAGAGGGCTCTGCAACCCCACAAGTGCTTCAAGAGCATCTCTTGTGTCTCCCCAGGCCCCCGCCCAAGCACAGACGAACCCCCTCTCCCTCCCCCGTTTAAACATATCTTTTCCTGGATGATGTGTTCTTAAAGTCTACACTAGTTGCTCTTTTCCTTTCTATTTTTTGAAAAGACCATAACACCTTTTAAACGTATTTCTTATTGTAAATAATATGGGGTTGTGATTCTAGTGGTCGAACTTTTGACACAATCTGTATTATTTCTTTAGAATAAATGCCCAGAAACGGAATTGCTGGGTCAAAATGTATGCAAAGAAAAATTTACAATAATACTAGCAAATTATTCTCAAGAAATTTTATCTTTCATCCTGAACCCCAGATGGAGTCACCCAATTTGGTCCAAATCAGTGCTGCTATCCAACCCAGGTCTCAGAGGCACTTCCAGGGGCTGGTTCCCTGGCTTAGCCTACACTCAACACACTTAATAAGGCCTTCCG